GATATAGATACACTGTAAATGCTGCAAACCAATCAGAATATATATATATATATTCAATGTTTTTTTTTTAAATGAAGGTATTAATCACTAACTGGCTTACAAAACTTTGCTTAGGAATTTGTTGAAAGAGGATTTTTTGACAAGACTAATGAAAAATGACTGGAAAACACAAATAGCACAGAGAAAAAAAGAGCTACATATTTAGTTTTACTTTTTTTCTAAAATCAAGCCATCATGGATCACTTGGTCCCAAAGACTACAGGTCTAGATTTCCAAAATAACCTTTGAATTTGCCTTGAATCCTTAATTCCACATCAAATATACATGTTTTCCCCTTTAAAATAGTTTGTAGTGGCATGACTACTTTAAAAAGCTGTCAAACACTTGGATGAAGCAAGACGTTCACCAAAAAACAACAGTAAGTAAAGACTTCAGACTACAGTATATAATGCTTATCTGAATGGAAGCGAAGAGTATTCTAGTAACATTATGAAGAGAAAAATTCACAAAAACATCATTCTGGATTAAGAAAGAATAGACATTCATTCATTCATTCTGAAGTCCTCTTAACATAAATATCTTATCAGCCTACAGAAGACTGTGCTACTACCACTACTGTACTGTATTGTCAAAACCACAAGACAACTTTGCTCAGGTTCAGTGAGTGGGACATCATTTCTACATAGCTTTTTAATTTCTTGGATTCTGAGTTCAAGCAAAACAGTCTTTGTCCTAGTGATTGCATTTATATGCTCTGAATCATCTATCCTATGAAGTGAAACAGCAGAGAAACTAACCCAGCCCTCTTCACAGTTTCCAAAGGATGGAGTTAAATAGTCTCTGCATCAAAGCTGTCAAGCTGCATGCCAGCCAATTGGAAATGTGATTAAGCTTGAACCTGTGTGTGTTCTGCTGCACGTCTCTCCGCCCACCCCATAATTTGCTCACTGTTCGAAATCAGAAACAGAGTCCTAAAGAGAATGAAAATTACTGACCTTTCTTAGCCAAAGCATTATTGGGTTCATATTTTTCAATCAGCTGCTGAACCTGTTCCTGCTTCAAAGGAGGATAAAGAATTTCATTTAACCGTGGGTCTCGTTGTTTCAAGTTTATAAATTCCATCATCTGATCAACAGTTAGATATGGTCTGGTCTTGGCACCTCTGGAGGAAAGAAATCAAACAGGGGTAAAGAGAAAAGAAAGATGACCCAAGTGCTTTGCCTCTCTTACAACTCTGACCATTAGCATTTTGCTAGATTTCCCTGGAAACTGGCAGGTCATGGCTTTTGAATATGAAAGTCATGACTGCAATGAAGAGGCTCACTTAGATCAGGAAGACAACGATACCTTCTCATGTTGAAACCCATCACATTGAAATCCTGTACGCAGATTCTCATCCGTGCTAGAAACAAAGGATAAGAATGTTGTTTTCATGACCCTTCTTCTATCTCTAAGTAGGGAATGGAAATCAGGGACCCTGGGGGCCACCTGTGCCCTGCAGGCAGTTTTTCCAGCTCTCAGCATTTCCTGGACTTCCCCATCTATCCTTAGTTTTTTCAGAGTCAACACAAGAACTGCTGCTATGGCAAGCCTCCAGGAGCAGCGATTTTCCCACAGAGTAAGATGGGCCCATCACAATTCATTCTAAAAGAAAATTCATTTCTCCCTTAGTCCACTTGTCTGAGGTTTGCTGTCTGAAGAAGTGGACTTGTCCACAAAAGCTCACAGTAAAATATAGAAGTCTTTAAGGTGCCACCTTGGTTTTTTTTTTTAATTATTTTTGTTTTGTTTTTGTCTGACATGTTTGAAAAGAAATACCAGTTTTAGCCACAGGGAGATTTTAACGTGTTGTGTCTTACGTCTGTCACATTGTGAGGTGTTACTCATCTATAGGCTCTGCTCCTGTAGAGAATGAAGTGTTTGGCCAAGAGCAGAAATGAACACCACAGTGAAAGAGAAGAGCCTTCCCCTATGTGTGGGAGGGCTTTCCATACAAGAAAAAAAACCTTGGAAAATAATACAGAACGGGAACCTATCCTCTTCTGAGGCATCACTTTCCATGTGAGATGAAGGGATGAGCTAGGCCTTCCCTTCCTTGGGTGTTAGAGAAAGTGAGATGGGTAATGCCCATCTTACATGTATTTGTCATTGATATGTTACTAGCCTCTGAATCCGGGAGAGTTCAGTATCAGAGATGTGAGAATTAAAGCTGCAGGGAAAGGGATATATTAAACATAAAATTTACAATTAAATTGCTCCAGGTGTTCCAAAGCATTAGAGCATGAAATAACAAGAGCCCAGTTTTTTGCTAATTCAGTCTGTACTGAATGTGATAGCTGATGGCATCTTCACTGAGTACTATGCTACCGTATATTTCCCCCACCCCCACCCCCGACTCCTTCAGCCTTTTGGTGGTTGGAGAAGCTGTTATCTAATACATACTGCTTGTGGCATTCTCTCTTCTGCCAGCTGCTCTCACTGCCCAATTATTTTAACTGGACTTTAAGCCGGCATATGCCAGAAAGAAGAACAAGGACTGCCAGTGATATTCCCCTAGGAATAATTTCCTGTTAAAGTTCAAGCAACATAAAACAGCCTCTTAACCTTAGTGGAAAGGATGTCTGGATCCTCAACGCAAATGATAGGTTAAAATTTGGAACCACAACATCCACAAATCTGTCCCTGGGTATCAGAGAGTGAAGCTGGAATATACATTACTCATTTCTTATTGTGAGCAGGCATAAAGAACCAATGTAAATGTGAAAAATTCATTCCAGTTAATTCCAGTTTCCAGTAAGTCTTACAATTCTAGGAAGATGTGGTCAATTTCAGGCCGAGGGCACAGGTTGCTCAAGAAGTCTCTGTATATTTCTGGAGTGAAGTCTTCTTGAGGAACGGAATCATTCTGTGGAGAATAATTAAAATAATGTACATAAAATCGCATGTTTCAGATTCTGTGACAATATATCCTCTTCTAGTCTATGTCTTCCCCTCATCACTACATGCTACTCCCTTCTTGACTTACAGACGGCTTGACTTACAGACTATTTGAGTTACAGACTTCTCTGGCCGCAAAATTTAGGTTTGACTTGCAGCCTGAGAATTGACTTACAGATCAGAAAAAAACCAAAATGGAACAAAAACGGCCTGTTACGGGATTAATTGGTTTTCAATGCACTGTAGGTCAATGGAGACTTGACTTACAGTCTTTTTGACTTGAGAACCGCCTTCCAATACGGATTAAGTTCTCAAGTCAAGACCCCACTGTACATGCTACTCCCTTCTTCCGACTCTATCAACTTTTCTCCTACTCTCTTGGTACCTCCACACTTCAGTGTTTCACTGAGAATTTGTTACATGTGTGAAGAAACAGAATGTGGAGAAGTTACTCTCTTGAAGTGCAACTCCCAGAATGTTCCAACAATATGGTCATCTTGGCTGGATAATTCTGGAAGACATCATCCAGAAAAATAACTTTCCCAAAGTATATGGTAGATTAACTCCTCACATGGTCTCTCACTATTCTCTGTCTTAAATGTGTGTGGCACAATCACAGAAATATGATCACATCCATTCCTTCCAGTTGACTTCAAAGATATCTCAAGCTTGAAAACCTTGAATATATAAGCCTATAGATGGCATGTCAAATTATTCTGTCCTCTAGTTTTCTCTAAAATAATGTAAACAGTATAGCTGGAACTTTGTGTAGAAACAACATGCAGCATATTTTTTCTAAGACCACAATTCCAAGATTTCATTTTCTACAATCAAGACATGAACATACAGTATAACACACCATTATTGTTAATCTGCACACTATCAAAGAGTACCATAGTCTGAAATATTATCATGCATATGAGGACACAATGGTTGTTACCGTAATACAGCACAAACAAAAGATAGCAGAGTTTCACACACTGAATTCAATGAAGTCTCTCAGGAAAAAAAAGTGGGGTGGCAACCCTAACTCAGCACTGATATAATTGAATTCAATCTCAAACTTTAATAGTTAAACATTTAAAACCCTGGGTCTGGAGAGAGGAATCTTCCATCTGTCACTTCAACTTCTCCTATATTATTATTCAAAAATACCAGGCACAGTCAGTCAAAACTATACAAACATTAACTGGTATTATATAACAGATACACAAGTCTTAACCAAAAACCTATTAAACCAGTATCTGTTGAATACTGATGCAGTATGTATGCTGTTCCTAATGCTGCCGTTTTTTGTAGCTCTGACAGTGTGATTTCTGAGATCTGCAACTGCTTATAATATTGCGTTAAAAATCTTGATACATCTGCAACTGCTTATAATATTGTGTTAAAAATCTTGATATTGTTCCCAAAGCCCCAAAGACTATGTGGACCAGTGAAGTGTGTTTCATCCACAAGCAGGATGTTCTGATTGCCAGATCTCTGTATTTTGTTACTTTTTTCAATTCTTTATCTTCAACTCTGGCATGCCTAGAATTGCAATGTCTATGATCAGACATTTCTTCCTTTTATTCCTACTCTCAAGGTGTCTGTCCATTTGGATCCAGAAATCCCACAAGATTTTGACTTCCTCAATGACCAGTGCACTAACTTTGCCATTCTATCATGTCAAATTTTGTAATCTGTTTGTGCTGTCTTCAGACATTTACAGTTTCATTTTTTTTCTTGGCAGAGTCAATATGTGCTGTTAGTGCTAATTCCTTGGATCTTAGCCTTCATCACATTGGTTTGGTGTGGTTGTTCTTGAGCAGTAAAAATCAACCTTTTTCTTTCTTTCTTAAGGGTCCTCAGTTTTAGCCATGCCCATGTTGAGTTATAATCAAGCTTTCCATCAATATTTCTCAGGTGTTGTCCTTGTAGTGGTTTATTTTTCCAGCTGTTTAATTTATGAATTGTTGTTTCTAACACTGAGTCTTTGTTTCTGTGGTTTTCAAAATGTTCTCCATTTTCACTGCCTTAAGTAATTTTTTTCTGCTTTTCTTCTCATTTAGGCTCCCCCCCCACACACACACTACCTGTTCTATTTGCAGTAATCCATGGCCCTTATCTTCAACTCTGGCATCCCTGGAATTGTAATGTCAATGATCAGACATTTCTTCCTTCTATTCCTACTCCGTCTGGCTAATCTGTCCACATCACTTTTTGGATGTAGTGTGTGACACATGTTCATTAGTTTCTGTGTTTTTCGATCCAATTTAAATCATTTTGGGTTGAATCTATTATTCCATCTGAGTATCAAATTACTGGGACTGCCTGTGTGTTTTTGGCCAATCTGTTTGTGCTGTCTTCAGACATTTACTGATGAGGTGCGGCAGAGTCAATATGTGCTGTTAGTATTTCCACCATTTAATTTTGATTTTTGTGCGCACAATGTTATCTGCTTCTAGTATTCCAAGGTATTTATAATGTTCATCACTTGACAGTGGTTTTATAATATCACAATTTTTAACTCTACTCCTTCTATGTTTTGGAGCTTACCATGGTTTATAGACAGAGCTGCACATTTGTCAATTCCAAGTTTCATTTGAATATCTTTACTAAATATTTGCACCGTGTTTAGCAGTGATTCTATCTCTGTGGAACTTTCTGCATATAGTTTTAGGTCATCCATGTATAATGGATGATTGATGTTTCCTGCTTATTCTGAAATATGGTAGGCCAATCCAGTTTTATTTAAAATTATTGACATGGGTATTAGTGAGATGTTAAACAGCAGTGGTGACAAAGAATCCCCTTGAAATATTGCTCTTTTGATGATAACTTTCCCAATTTCTTCACCACTGACCATATTGTTTTCTGGTTTTCCATGTTTTTCTTGAGGACCTTCTGAATATTTTATAGTCCTAGAATATTTTAGGCAGGTGCTCTCAAGTGCTTGCCATTTCAAAGGAAGATTCTCATTCCATTCTAAATATGGGGGTGGGGCGAGGTAGTGAGGAGAATGAAATTTTTTGAATATTCTTCTGAAAAGGGGAAATGGAAATTAAATTCTCCTCAACTTCTAGTGTAAACCCAGGACTGGAAGGAACCCAAACTGGCCATTGTTCAACTCCACCCAGCTTCCAGTTCTCAAGAGCCCACATTGCATTGCAGGAGTTAGCTGTACTGTACTGGCAAAACAGTAAATTCCAATTACCGTAGCATTTATGAATGAGAGTCTGATACTATTTTGGGATCCTTTCCTGTTACTAGACTGTGAACTCCCTTCCTCTCCCTACCCTTTATTTCCTGCTAGCTAATGTCTACTTCTTGCCTTTTAACAAACAGGGATTTCTCCCCGTTCTCTCAGAGTCAGTGGCAGGGATAGTATTTGTCAGTCTGTCCACATCCATTACCTTGGTCTGGACAAGGAAAGGGACCTGAGGAATATCACAAGCTGCTTTTGATTAGCTTTCACATGTTATATCTCTATGACAGACTAGTAACAGTATCTACTGTAGAGGGAGTGATCCCCTTTGCCATTTGTGAATATATTTGATCAGATCCTCTGGTGTTTGAAATAGTTCTGCTGTCTTTTAAGCTACAATAGGGTGCACCTCAGGTTTATCCCTCAGTTGCCAACATCAGGTCAGAAACTGATCTCAGGTGAAGCCACCTTCAAGTATTGCCCAGTGGTGAAATTTGGCTGTGGGCAGGTTCTTGACCTAGCTCCAAAAAAAGTCAACCAAAAGAAGAAAAGAAAAGAAAATTCCCCCTCTTTGTTCCCTTCCACTTCTGGGAGGAAATTTTTCATTTTAAAAAATCTTTTATAAGTGATGCAGTCCATCAGCACTGCCTTGATACAGTGTAAAAAAATCCCCACACATTTTATTTCCTCTGTTCCTCCATAGAAGTGCAAAGGAAATGTTTAATTTCCCAATATAATGCAGTGGCTGTCTTCTTAAGCTACTTCATGATATGGGAAAAACAAAGAGGAAGGAGACAGGCCACATAGGGTTGATCGAGATACACATGCAATTGAGATGCAAGAATTGCACCAGATGGCATACTACATCACCATGCAACCCCAAACAACCCTATTTAGCCCACACCAGGACACTCCACATGATATTGTGTAGACAAACTCTTAGTAAATTTGGAATTGTCTCTGTAAACGATAGTTTAAATGCAACATACCCAAACAATGCAATTTTACGGGCTGATCAAATTACATATCATAGCTGTTTTAAAATCCTAAAGTAACAAAGTAACTTCATATCTGTAAAGCACTCTTTTAAAAAATAGCTGTGAGACTTTCTGCCCTAAAAATTCTGTATTTTCTGGGGAGGGGAGACAAAAGAAACAGGGGACATGTCCAGTCATGGCTTCATAATTTTTGAAAAGTCTCAGTTCTACACATGTAGCATAAGGAGATACAGTCAGCAGATGTTAAATTACAGCCACCCATTGTCTTAAAAGCCACTCCCACAGAGCCTGAGAAGAAACAGAATTTGCTTCCCAAAAGAGAAGGAAGTAAGAAATAAACTTCAGAAACTCAAACTGTTCCACAGTATCAAGGCTATGGTCTCCTTAATGTGAACAGCATTAGCAGGAAGGCAGGAAGGGCAGCTTTCCTCTTTCAGGCTGGCAGCATCACCATGAAGTCATAATGGGCAATCTCTCTCCCTCAGACAGGCAGCATCAGCATGAGTATCACAACAGCCACTCCTGCTTCCTCAGGTGGACAGCTTCAGCATGAGCTCTAAGTACTTAGTTTTTCTCTCCTCCAGGTTATCTCTTTTAGGCCGCCAGCATCCACTCAAAGTCACAATAGCTAATTTCCTCAGTCTGACTACTGGAACATAGGCGGATTGAATGGACAGTTTGCAGAAGCCATTCCTATGAGACCAAGCAGCAACATTCTCATTGAAACTGGAAGCGAGATCTTGGCTGAGAAGTAGTAGGCGCTTGAGAGGAGCACCAAGAGCA